GTGAGTCTGTGATAGCACGATGCCAAGTCGTGAAACTAAATCATTGATGTTTCTTGCCAGAACGATATAAATTTCAACTTCCCAACTTTTCTGGTACTGTACTAAGTGATTCATACACAAACATACACATACAGGCATGGTCTTTTTCGAACAAACCTTTGGTGAGAGATAAGGACACATCTTGCCTAAAAATTATTTTTAGGTTTTTCTCCTCGAATTTAATCAAAGTCTTTTTCCTCATAATTTCAGGCTTATATTTTTATCGTTATCGGGTTTGGAGAGCATACGGACTTGGACTTCAGTCAAGAGTTCAAAACACAGGATGATCTTGGAGTTCATCTCAGTTCGAAAGCGCGTATGTCGCCGGGGAGTTCATTTACAAAATCCTAAATCCCCGGTTTTCGTAGCTCGGAGTTGCGATCGGTAAGGTTGACAAACAGATGCAAACATACACGTACAAAGAATCTCATCTCAATGTATTTTTTTGCGGGACGATACAAAAAGGCATACGCCATAAGGCAAAAAAACAAATTAAGCCCTTCCATCCGCACTCACAGTGTATCTCTCTATATTCCGTACTTTTTTTACTCTCAATAACAATAATCTTACGGTTCCTGCCCCTGTACATTTCAGCAGAATATGTTTAAGTATGAAATTTAAACTCCAACAATTCTCGCCCTAAATTTTCACTAAACGTTGGACTTGGAAGAGCACTTACTGTTTCCAGTTCCACAGTCCATACAACTTGATTTTTAGTCAGCGATAGTGTATGGAACTGGGCTCTGTGGGTTTTCAAAACCACACTCTGGGAGCAACTCTCAGAACCACTGTGAGTAGTAAAATTGTAATGATTGGAAGGTATTAATCGCAAAAGCTGATTTGTGAGTCGATGCATTCAACTCTCGGATAGTGAAATTCGCTTGGTATTTTAGGTTATGAATGAACCGTTTTGTAAGGTAGCAACAGAGGAGGGAAGGAGACAAAAATTGAAACGAAAGCTGACTGCAAACCCGGTTTTGAAGAGTCAGTGCTACGCACATTTTCACGCGACGCAGGTACTTTCAAGCCAGCTCGGTCTTCGTTGCAACTTCTGGGTCGAAGGAGCTTGGGGCTGAGGAAGATAGGTGATGAAGCAAGTTTGTAACAAATTCTACGGGATATAAAATGGCAGGCAAAAAAAAAAAAATCACTGTCGGGTGATCGCCGATAACACAGATAGCTTAATAAATTACCAAGATAATTATCGTCGTCTTTCTGATTACGATAACCGCGTTGCGTTATTTCTATATTGGCTGAGCCAGCTGGTATTTTCAAGACTTCGTTGTAACCAAACGATCCTCGCTCGTTATAGCTACCTGCTACCACCCGGCATGTGCTTCCGTCACCGCCACAGATTCCGCATTTATCACGCTTCATTTCGGAACCCAATCGATGATCACAGCCAGCCTAAACACTAATCAGTTTTTTAGCAAGTGGATCAGCATGTTTTCTGACTGGCATACTTAGCTCTGATTTAAATGATGCAAGCAATTCATTTTAATGCAATTAAGCACCAGATCATATTTTTATAGCTAACTGACAAGCTTTGCTGCAAGCGAACCTACGGAAGCACCGCGAGAAGAAAATGTAGCGGAATAGCGAAAGAACAATGAGGCGCTAAGTACCTTATGGCAGGTGCCATCGATGCACATATCATCGCCATGCCGATCGCACGGAGTGCCGTCCAGAACTTTGTCTTTTAACAAGTAAAATGCAGCAGATCCGCTCACACGACAGTACAATTTACATCTTTCGTTGTCACTGACTGAAATCAGTTAAACCACTAGATTCTAGATTCATCGCTCTTGAGGTTTCACGGTTTTTGCAGAACTAACCTCCCGCATATTTAGGTAACCACCGAGTATTTGCAGGAACTCCGTGAATACCGACGTCTTGATTATTAAACTCAGAGCACTGCACTTCCCGAAAGCCAAGAGTGTCCCATGGGCAGTCTTGTATATTGCACGGTCGGTAACGTTCCCTCTGTCCCACGCAATACCTTCCACCATTACTGGGCCTGCAAATTGCCTAAAATCAAAAAGCTCTATCTGACTTACATCACTTTCCTTATTCCTAAGATAGAAAATGGCTCATCTTTTGCAGCAGCATCCAAACTTACCAAACAGCAATATCACATTCTGCATACTCATGAGCACGAACTCTGCAACGGAGAGTTCGGTGCCAATGAAATGAAATTACTTATTTCAAAATATTGGACGATTTTTTGAAAATTAGAAATCAGAGCTGCTATACTGTTAACTTTCGATTCATTATACCATTTCATCGACAAACAACACTCTCTGATCCTGCGCATATCGAAAATGCCTTTCACGAATTATGTCTTTGAGCATATTTTCTAAACTGCAGAAATACAAAAATTAGGAAATTCACTGTTCTCGAGTACGTACAAAACGAAGATTAATAAGCAACTTTCAGTTTTTTAGCGTCTTTGGATTCAAATTCTGGCTAATTTTGCATTGTCGTGTCAACCCACTGCGTTCCATTGCATAACAACGAATTCCCACAAACGCATTATCGAGCCGGGCACACTGTGAATGTTTCGTATTAATTTAGCCAAAACTTCAGCTCACTCGCAAAATCTGAATTATTTTCAGTGAAGTAACCTTGGGTTATCACAATCGCGC